TCCCATGTAGTTAACACATCAGCCGGGGTGGTGTGTGTGTGCGTGTGTGTGTGTGAGATCAAGGGTTCAGGAAGGGGGGGTGGCAGCTCCCTTCTCCCCCCATCCATCCATTCCTCCATCCATTCCTCACCACTGCCCCCCCACCCTGACGGTCCCACCCCCACAAGGAGCTGCCGTCACTCAGCCACACGTCTGGAAGTTGCTCTTGGAACGGAACGGCATTCCGAAGAAAAAGGAGAGAAAAAGGAGGAGGAGGAGGAGGAGGAGGAGGAAGCATTCCTGGCAGGCCAGCCGGGACCAGATTCTTTTCCCAGTAGCGCTTTCTCGAAAATAGCTGGTCCACGTGGAGCAGGGAATTCGGGGCGGGGGGGGAGTCTGAGGGAACACCAGGAGTCAAGGGGGGTGGGTTTTTGGGAGGCCCAGCTCTCGGGATGCCCCCTCCGCACGAGAAGCGTCCGGAAGGCAGAAGGCAGTAGGGGGTTTTCAAGGCAGCCCTTCCAGCGGGCACTGGGGAAACCCATCCTCAGGCTCCAGGCAGGCAGGCAGAGCAGGCTTCCCTCTCCCCCCCCCTGTCTCCCCCGGGTGGGAAATACCCACACTGCCCTTGGGGACGGGACGGGCACCGGCTAGAGGAGGAAGAGGAGGACGCGCCCCTTTGAGAGCACCGAAAAGTGGCTTCGTCTCCCGGCGTCTTTCTCCTTTCTCGGCTTCCTGATGGCCGACCCCCAAAGCAAAGCAAGGGGAAGACTCACATCACCAAGCCATGAAGACGCCCCCCCCTACACTCTTTGCACCCCCCTCCCCGAGGAAGCTCTTGGGCTCAGGCCCCAATCCATGCCTGACTTGTTCCGCTTGCCCATCTCCTTCCGGGCTTCCTGCCAAAGACCCAACTGATCTCTCTTCCCGCTGAGAGAGAGAGAAGCCCCTTCCGGTGGCCGAGAGGCCCTGGGAGACCAGCCAGGGGTTGGGGTTGGGGGCCAGAGGCCCCATCCAGCGCAAAACACGCCCCTGCCTGGCCAGGCTGAGGAGCCCTTTGGGGTTCCCAACGCGCCCGTCCTGCTCTAGGAAACAGACCAGGAGAGGCAGAAAAGCCCCCTCCTTCCCTCGCAAAACACCCCAGAAGGCGATGGGTCGCCTCGCAGCCTCTCCCAGGCAGGTGGAGGGGCTGAGTGCTCTCCTGGGATGGGATGAGGGGGGGAAAGAGGCACACCCCCCCCCCGCAAACCCACCTGGGTGCAACAGGATGGGCTACAGGCCTCCCTGCAGCCTCTCCCTTGAATGAGGAGTCCTAGGCACTCGCTTGAGGGGTGTGTGTGTGTGTGTGTGTGTGTGTGTGTGAGAGAGAGAGAGAGACACACACAACATACTGTATCCTGCCACCCAGAGAAGGAAGCCCAAGTGCTAATCCACCAGCGTGGAGGGTTTTTTGGGAGCAAACCCGTCTCATGCGGGAGCTCCTTCACCCAGGCACCCAGCCGTCCTGCATGGCTCCGTGAGGGTTAATCCTTCCTGCTTGGCCCCCATGAACAGCAGCAGCAGGAGGATCAATTAGGTTATGCTTGGCAGGACTAGGTGTGTGTGTGTGTGTGTGTGTGTTTGGGGGGGGGTTGAGAAGAAAAGAGGCATCCAGGGTCTCTCTCCAAGACCGACTTCTCCTCCTGCAGAGATGAGTGGCCATCGACCACCCTCCAGCCCCAAGATCAGAGCACAAGACGGACGGACGGCCTTTTGGAAGACAAATGCCCCTGGCTGGAGAGGGAGAAGCAGCCCAGGTGCCCCCAAAAGGCCCACTCCCGCCCCTCCCCAAAAGAGACTGCCCCCCCTCTCTCTCCCGTGCGCCCCCCTTTCCTGTCCTCGTCCCCCTCCCCGTCCATCAGCCTAAAAGAGAAAAGAAAGCTCAGGTAAGCGTGAAGCTGCTGGGAGAGCCAGGCGAGGGGAGGGGCCGGCCCGGCTGGCTGGCTGGCCGGTCGCTCACTGGCGCTATAAAAACGCTTCCTCGGCTCCTGCCACACTCCAGAAGGAGCCTTACGCGGAGGAGGAGGAGGAGGAGGACGAGGAGGCACACACGTGTGCACAGAAGAAACACCAGCTGCGCAGGAGTGTGCTGCGGCCAGCCAGCCAGCCAGCGCCAGCGCCAGCAGCAGGAGAGACTTAACCCTTCCGTAGCTCGGACGCCAGCCAGCCAGAGGAAGGAGCCCCTTTCTGGACCCAGACCGGCAGGGCGCAAGGGGGCAGAGAGCACGGGCTCCCGGCTGGAGGAGGAGGACGACACGGAGGAAGAGCAGGCACCAGGTCTTTTGGGGGAGGCGGTGCTGGACGCGGCACATCCCTCTCTTGCACTGTGCACAACCCCCCTGCCCCAAAAGCATGGGAGCACAGAGCTGAGGCAGCCAGCCCGTGAGGACCGTCCCCACTCCGGCCAGTCTCCTCGCCTGCTTTCCAGCCCCCCGCCATGTCCTTCGCGATGCTGCGCTCGGCCCCGAGCCGGTTCCTCTACCCGGAGATCAGCATGCTGTCCGAGGACGAGGAGAACGGCAGCGAGAGTTCGGGTTCGGACGAGAAGCCCTACCACCTGGACGCCGGAGGGTACGGCCTCAAGGGCGGCCAGCGCCGGAGCAGCAAGAAGAGCAGCCGGATCAACAGGGAGCCCCGCCAGCGCCACACGGCCAACGCGCGGGAGCGAGACCGCACCAACAGCGTCAACACGGCCTTCACCGCCCTGAGGACTCTCATCCCCACGGAGCCGGCCGACCGGAAGCTCTCCAAGATCGAGACGCTCCGCCTGGCCTCCAGCTACATCTCCCACCTGGGCAATGTCCTCCTGGTGGGGGAAGCCTGTGGGGACGGGCAGCCGTGCCACACCACCCCGGCCTTCTTCCACCACGGCGGTGGCGGCAGCACCAGCGCCGCCAGCAGCAGCCCCCCCGGACGGGAGAGCGACATCTCACAACCCAAACAGATCTGCACTTTCTGCCTCAGCAACCAAAGGAAGATGGTAAGTCCAACGCGCTCTTGGCGGGACGGGGTGCGGGTGGCACGTGGCGGAGAAAGGAGCAATGCTTTAGGCTTCCTGTCTAGGAAGGGCATCCGTGGGGGTGTGTGTGCAAAGACTCGGGGACGGACCACCATCACAACCGAGGCTCTCACCCGCCCGCAGGATCCCCAGAGACTCTTTCAAATCCTTCAGAAAAAAAGGCCAGTTCCTTCCGAGGCTCGGCAGGAAAGGGACAACGAATGAAACAGCTCATATTGTATATCACCCTTCACAACCACGCCTGGAGAAAAAAGGCAGAAGAGGGGTCAAGAAAGGCAGCTGGCTGCCGGGAGAAAAACAGTTCAAAATTGAGGGAGACATCAATACAGGCCCCTGAAGAGAAAGCAGGTCCCAAAGGGTTTCCCTTCCTCAACACACTAGAACCCAGTGGGGCCAGGCAGTGAAGCCGTGCAGCCAGCACGCTGCCTGCCGCCTCCTTGGACTGAGAAGGATTCTGGGAAACACCAGCCTCTTCTCCAGCAAGCCACAGGAGAGGTGTCCCAGCCTGACCCCCACCCACCCAAGACATCCCCGAGGACCCTCTTCTCCTCCTAACTCCACAGCACCTGACCTGCTCCTCGCTCCTCAGGCCGGTGGGCGGGAGGGATCTCAGCCAGAGAAAGTCATGACCCGGCAACTGTTGGGGCAATTTGTCTCGGCCAGAGGGAGAAGGCCACCCGCCACCCGCCCGGTCTTGCAAACCGCAGGTCGTGGCCCTCGTGGGTGAAGGCTGGAGACTTGAGCTCCCTGCCCCTGGAGATCTTTGCTCAGCTTCCAAGTGTGACCAAGTACGAAGCTTCTTTGAAGTCTACGTTCCCGTACAAGACAGCTGGGAGGAGGATCAACGGGGAAGAGAAAGGATTGGTTTTTTTTCACTGAAAAGCCCTGCAAAAATGGGCTGCCTGGAACTGGGAGAGCCGCTCAGCCCTTCAGAATCCCTTCCGCCTCCCCAGCCTCAACCCACTAGCAGAGTCTTCTGGCTTGCCTCTGAGGAGTACCATGGATCAGCATGCCGCTGGCCAGTTCATCCAAGCAGGGCTCCGGGCAGCCCTTTCATTGGGAAGGGGACCGAGAGGCAGCCAATACACTGCTCCTGTTTCTCCAAAGCAAGATGTTCTAGCATTCCAGGGCAGGGCATTTATTTTGAGGGTCAAAACAGACAGGTAATTTCTATCATTATTAAAGCAAAAAGCCCAGCGCTGAAGGGAAAACAGATGTGCTTTGCAAACACTCCGTGCTGAAGGTTCTTGCAAAGGATTCTTCTTCTTTATGCAATTTATGGATGTCCTGCCTTTTTCTCCAAAGTTGGGACTGAAAGCAGCTCTCAAGACTTCACTAAAAAAGGTGCACTTAAAAAGACAAAAAGTTGTAAAAGAAAAAACACAGCCTGCTTAAAAGCAAGATAGACGTCAGTCTGTAAGCNGGGGGGGGGGGCAGACCCTGGCCTCCCTTAAAAAGGGAGCTCTGTAGCCCGGGAACCTGACACTAGAAGACAGATTTTATACCTCTCTCTCCCTGAATTGAAATTTGGAATGTGTTTATTTCGTCAACTGTTTGGATGGCTAGGCTTTCAGCTACTGGAATGCCGGATCTTTTTAGCTTGGAACTTTGGAAGAGGAAAAAAAAAAAAAAAAAAAAGGGGGGGGATCCATCCAACGTCCAACGTCCCCAGCTGGCGTGTGAGCAGCCCAACGGAAGCCCTCAGGAAGGAAGCACAGCGGGTCCACTTTTAGGAAGCTGTACCCCTGGAGCTCAAGAGGACAAAACAGTAGCCGTGACGAGGGTCTCCTTTCCACCTTTGAGACAGAAGGATCAGAGGAAGAAGGGCCAGCGACGTGGCCGACCTGCCTATGTGGACAGGGCAGGACCTGACCCCCCCCGCCCGCCTCTGAGGGAGGGGACAGGCTGCTGGGCCAGCCGAGACCTCCTCTTCCTCTGCCCTCTGGGCTCAGGGGCCCCCTCTTCAGCCGTGGGCTCAGCCAGCAGCAGAGGGGCTGCGGCCCCGACAGAGCCCTCCAGCCATCTACAGGAAAGAAGGGGAGGGAGACCGAGGACTCTCGGGGGGGGGGGGCCTCTGGTCA